CCTCGAAACTCCACAACTTGTCCACCATAGCTTGTCAAGACTCGGGTTATTTCGATGTTTCCTCGACAAGAATTCAAAGAGATATCGTTATCCATATTATATTCACGTCATCCATTTTGTAATTCACCACGCAAGAAAAATAAGAGATCAAATACAATCATCACTATCTCCTCGATTTAAGATATGCTCGAGCAATGACATGCTTAAAAATTGTGAATAATCAATTCGAACAAAATTCCACATTTTCACCTAAAAATCCAAATGAGAGGCTCCCAATATATCAACTTATCAAATTGTATAATGTTAATCCATCTCCTCGTACTCACCGATAAAAATTTATAAGTGCACCAAATACACATCAAGCATTATCACGGAACATCCACAACTCGAAATCACAACCCGCGTTTATTTTCCATCAAATAAGTTCTCCGCGAATAAATCCAATAATATCTCTACAAATAAGTCAAGCAATATCTCCACAAGCAAATCAAATAATTACGCGATTGAGTCGGATATCACCACGAAAAAATCAAATAATTCCACAATCAAATCCAATGCCACCACGAACCAATCCAATATCTTAGGGAATAAATCGCATAATTCTACACGAATACTCCAAATAATATCTCCTCGACCAAATCAAATAACACCACAAACAAGTCAAATAATACTTCTCGATAAACCAACTAATGCTCCTTAGACAAATCAAATAGCTTCCACGAATAAATCATATAATATTTTTTTTCATATGAATCAAATAATATCTCTAATTTTCACCAATTAATTCCCATGAGTAAATCAAATATTTTCACGGATAAACCAAATAATCTCCACGAATATATCAAATATCATCTCGAGCCAATCAAATAATTTTTCTCGAACAAACCGAACAATTCCACGAATAAATCACAAAATTCTCCTCAATAAATCCAATAATATTCCACCATAAGTCCACTAATACTCCTCAATAAACCAAATATCTATGTGAATAAATCATATAAGCTTCACGCATAAGTCAAGTAATGTTCCACAAGTAAATCAAATAGTCTCCACGAGTATATCACATCATATTATCCTCCACGAACAAATCAAATATTTACTCCACTTTTGACCAATCTAAAAATCCCTTGAACCAATAATTTAAATTAACTCCATACCTTCCTCATGAGAATGTTATCTCAAATTACCTCACCGCGCGCGTCGAATTATCCCGAATTAGTTTTTGGCTAGAAACGGGGCTATTCTTACTCATTGGGCCAAGTTTGGGTGAATAGGGCTCCATTTGGAGCTGTTTGGGGCCAAAATGGGCTGCAGTTGAGCGCTAATGGGCCGCTGGATCGCGTTTGGGCCGGGAAATTGGGTCAAGAGGGTTGGGCTGGGCGCATGCCACGCGCGGGCTGGGCTCGGGCCACACGCTGGCTGGACGCGGGCTCCTTTCCTTACTCCTCTGCTGGGCTGTAACACGTGGGCTTTGCGCGATGTGGGCTGCTCGCTGACGGGCTTCGGGGTGTGGGCTCGTGGCGGACCAGAACCTGCTGGGAGGCGGGAACGGAGCTGCCATCCGTCGGAAAAAATGGAGTCGGCGAAAGGTTGTCGGGTCCGGCAAAGGTGACTGGCCGATGGTGCGCCTCGGCAAGGAGAACTCCAGGGTGCCGTCGGTTCGACGCGATTCGGCGGAAATAGCCGGAAAATTGAAGAAGATGACCGGAGTTGACCACCCATTTTCTAGATCTTAGAACTTTGACCTGCAAATCGACGGCCTTCCCAATGAAATTTTTGCTTGAAACTTTAAGGGTAGAACGAGCAAGAGAAGAGCTTCGCGATGGTGCGAGAATTTTTCAGATCGGACAACTTTGACCGGCGGCGCCCGGCGGCGGCGGACGGCGGCGCACGGCGGGTGTTCGGCACTGTAGATGCGCCTCGACAAGAGGATTCCAATGGTGTTCCCGAATTTCTCATAGCCCTCTCGGATTGCCGGAAAAACGCATTTGAAGGTCGAATGTTGACCAAAACTTCTTAGATCCGAGATGTTTGACCGGCCAAATCGAAGGCCTTCCCGGATGAATTTTCGAATGAGATTTTTAGGGGAGACTCACCTCGACGAGATCTACCCGTTGACGTAAATATTTTTACGATCCGAGCACGTTGGCCGACTGAATCGAAAGAGGATTTTCTTAATTTTTTTATCGGAACTCCGTTTGGCTTTTCGAACGGGTCCCACAGACGGCGCCAATGAAGTGAGTAAGATTTCCCTCGGGTTCCTTCGACTCGGTTGGCCTCCGTACCTGCAAGAACCCAACGCCGGGAGGGGTCCCGGCGTCGGGCCTCCGACGCTCAAGTCAGTATCACTCAAATCCCAAGAGTATAATTATGAATGTAGAGAGTGTAAGAGAATGGGATACCTTAGCCCCCTTTTATAGGGGGAGTGTACCTTATGGCCCAAGTTGGGCTTGCCCAATAGCCTCATGCCACGTGTCCTAGCCATGTGTAGGCTTATTCTTCCATATATTCCCTTTTTATCCATTAAAACCGGTCCAGTATAATATCCTATATCATATATAATACAAACATTAATAAGCATTTAGACAATTAAATTGACAATAATAATAATAATAATAATAATAATAATAATAATAACAATAATAATAATAATAATAACATTAGTAATAATTAATAACAAAAAGAATAATAATAAATAATAAATAATTCCAAATAATCCATAAATAAACGGGGCGCTACAAATTCTGTCTAGACAGTGAATTAATATCAATATTACACAAGGCACCGATAATGTGATTTTTCTGTTCGATACATCGAACCACATTATCACTACAATATGAAATATAGGAACTATGTTCGCATATATAAATAAACTCTGAACAATAACTTGACTAAAGACACACATCTCATTCAAAATGAAAATGAAAGTAATCACAAAGTCGAGCTTCTACGGTATAATCCAACAAAAAAGATGGCTCTCTTTTTTAAAGATGACTAGCTTAATTTATATTCTTAAATTTTTAATTGTATACGTTGAGTGTCATCACTAATGAAATGGTGAAGTATCCATTAGAGCATATGCAACGGGAATTTATTTGCCCCGTTTAAATAACAAGTTGGCATTAAAATGGATGTGAGCATCCATTTACATGGTGGGCCACACTTACGCGTTCAATGGGTTGAACGCGTTCAGCCCTTTTTTTTAATTTTATTTTTAAATTAATTTTTTAATCATATTATTATCTTTTTTTATATTAATTTTATTTTTTATCTATATCACACTTCCCAATATTGGTAAATTCAAATGTTATCTATATCATACTTTTCAATATGTATCAATAATTTACATTTTCTATCTTCTTTTCTTTGCCTATAAATACACCTCAATTTTACACTTCTCTTGCACAAAAAAAAATTTAGCAACTGCTCATTTGCTTTATAAAAATAGATCCGAATAATAGGCAAGTTATTTTTTTAATTCTAATACTTTTAAGTTATTTTGGTCTTGTAGTGTTGTTTCATTTCAATGCATTTAAAATTTATTATTATTATTTAAAAATATTAAATTTTATATTTATTAAGAATAGAATGTTAAAATTTATATTAAATGAGTGGATAATGAGTGCCATATATATGTATTTAAATGAATGGATAGGAATGTGAATGTGTGTTTAAATGGAGAGATGTTTAATGGAAAGACGATGTGGAGATGATGTGGATGAAAGAGAGTGTTAATCAGGGCCGACTCCAAAAATTTGGAGGCCCCGAACAAGTTTTTCTTTTCGAATTTTTTGATTTGAACTTGCATTGTAACTAGGGTTATTTACAGATAGAATTACCAAAAAAAAAACTAATTAAAAAAGAATACTAAATAAATAAATAATTGAAAAATAAAATAATTTTTCTTGTTTTTCTAAACCTTGGAACCGATAAATTACCTCTGGCTTACAAAATTCTTTAATAAATTACATTCAAACAGTCACGAAGACACCAAGGAGAAGAAAATAAAAATCATATCACTGCAAAGAATATTTATTCTCACACAACTTATTTTGACCGAACATCTATGAAAACAAATGAAATATTAGGGTCTCAATTCCATCACAAAATACATATTTTGTCATTAGTTCCTTTATTAATTAGTCTCTTCATTTATGTAATGAGCAAAGTCTATATTTAATCATTAACTCATTCATTTGTGTAAATAGGTCAAATCCAACACAATACATAATACTACCTCCTTTTTTTTATAGATGTCATTTTGGTTTTATCAACAATTGTCTAAATAAATGACGTTTTGGATCTTTTGTACATATTTTTCCATTATTACTCTTATCTAGCTAATAAATACACTATGTCTTTTCATATTCACTTTTTATATTTTTTCCAAATATCTATCTCTATCATAATTAATGAGAGTTATTATTGGTAAAAAAAATATTCTTAATTAGTGTGCAACTTCTCAAAACGACATCTATTAAAAAATGGAGGGAGTATTAAAAATAAATTAATGCCCTAAATAAATGATGGTGTAGGAATGGGCCTAGCTTGTTTCCAAGAGTTGAGCGACCCGTGTTAATTTTTTATTAAATGGATGGATGTATGAGTTGTGGATGCCCTTTAGGAGATGCCGCGTCATCTTACCAAATAAGACCGTTAATCATCTGTTCCTGACGTGGCCCACAGTCTCCAGCGTGCCACCCAGTTGTAAAGGATTAAATAGTTATAATATAATAGAACCGCCTCCGTTTACCGGTCCTTCCGGTATGCCGTTGTCGACTTCCACAAATGTTTCCGTTATATAAGACACAGAAAAAATACAACAGAGAAAATAATAATACAGGGAAGGGAGAGAGAGAGAGAGAGAGAGAGAGAGATTGTGTGTGTGTTTGAAAGAGGGCTTGCAGAGGGTGAATCCTCATCCTCGGTGCGCAGTCGTTTTGCGATTCTCCTTCTCTCCAAGTTTCCCTGTTTTACGCAGACAAAATCGATCTAAGGTCATGGCGACGGCCGACGCGCCGGAGAACGCACGGAGGGCCGAGGATCCGAGCGAAGAATTCCAGGAATCCGCATTCTTCAGCCGCCGGTGTTGCTGCCTCTGGAATTTCCCGTGTTCGATCTCGCGGAGGAGGGAGAGTTGGGAGCGGATCTCGCCGTCGGTGACGGAATTGCCGGAGAGCGGCGGGCGGAGTTGGTGGGGAAGGGGAGTCGACGCGCTGAAGAAGGTGCGGGAATGGTCGGAGATGGTGGCCGGGCCGAAGTGGAAGACGTTCATCCGCCGGTTCAACCGAACCGGGGCGCGGCCCAAGTCTGGGAAATTCAATTACGACCCGATGAGTTACGCGTTGAATTTCGACGAGGGGCATAACGGTCAGTTTGAGGACGACAGGATTTTCAGGGATTTCTCGTCGCGATACGCGGCGATCCCGGTGCAGGGCAGCGGTCAGTTGAAATGAAGGGAGATGACGTGGCAGGTTTGACGAAAAATGGTGAAGGTGAGTTGACCGGCGCTAAGTGCGGACGCCTGATGTGCGGATTCTGCCATCGATGTTGTGTATGATTTGGGTCGGTTGCTAAGTGGGCTCGGTTTCAACAGGTTTTTTAATTTTTTTATACAGCATTTCAAATTGTATTAATTTTTAGTTGCTCTTTGGTTGTTACG